TTCTAATTCGTGTTCCGTGATTCCTATTGCGTAGTTCGTGTCCTGGATTCTGTGCGTAACGTCACTACTACTAGTACTTCTACGATCATTACAACGGGGTTGTCGGTCAATCGGAGAAGTTAATGCCTCGTTGAATCGTCATTGGTTTATTTTTGTGGCTATTATCAGTCATTTGTAACTTTCCTGACATAAACTGCGGCCTATATTTCAGCGTGGCATTGAGAGAATGTTAAAAGTCTCATTGGCTCTGAGCATATTCAGTGTTGTGTAAAGCAACCGTATACGACTTTTTATTTGTTTGAATGAATCAACTGTGCTGAACATCAAACTCCCTCGGACTAGATTTACGAACATTTCTGACAAATCCGAGGTTTTCGTACGCCATAATGTTTCCTGCTCGTAATACACTCTGCAGGTACTCCTCATTTGGGCATATTCCCAACTTTTAGATCTCTTGAAAGTTTGTGCAGAAAAAACTCCGTTAAAAACTTAACCAGTTGGACCGATGCCGTTCGTAAACAAACTAGTAAATCAGAAAATGTGTATGCAAAAGAAGATCGTTATGGTGCACATAACTATCATCCTTTACCAGTCGCTATTGCCAAAGCTAAGGGTAGACGCTGATTGATTATGTTTTTATATCTTTCATACTTTTAGGTGTGTACGTTTGGGATACAGAGGGCAATAAATACATGGATTTCCTAAGTGCATACAGCTCTGTAAATCAAGGACATTGTCACCCAAAAATAGTTGATGCACTTGTTGAACAGTCAAAAATTTTGACATTAACTTCTCGTGCATTCTATAACAACATTCTCGGCGAATATGAGGAATATATAACAAAGCTTTTCCGTTACGACAAAGTGCTTCCTATGAATACTGGTGAGTAATGGGCAGTTCGGTTGCATATTTTCTTATTAAGTTACTGTAAAAATTATGTTTTGGCTCCAAATTCGGTACCAAGTTTTAGGAAGGTTGTGGTTTAAAGCACAATAGTAATTACAATTTAAATTAATCGAATAACTATTGATCAACAATGAGATCGATCTCTTTACAGAAATTTCTTTCCCTGTCAGCGAAGTAGCGAGAATAACGGCAAATTACTCAAAATGAGCTCAAAACAAGCAAGCAAAATTTTGCAAGTAACGCGAGTTTTCTACAGGGTTTCTTGACGTTCTTGATCGGACTCCACGAAACGCTTCTTATGATGCGCTGTACATAGGTTCACTTACAGTGAATGCTCCAACATGCCTTTCTTGCTACCTATTACACCACTTCCTGTTTGATCTTCGTTTGTCCTCATGTGAAACATTTGCGAAGAAAATCCTCTCTGACCCCATTCATCCTTTACATGGCGATATATTCAAATGCTGCGCACATTCAGCTACGCGTTCTGTATACCGATTATTACCCTCTCGCATGAACCTCTACAGAAATTCCCCTGTTCGCTATCTCGCCAGAATCCTTGTATACCGACAGAGCGTTTCTTCTGAACTTCTCAACAACCTTGGAAGTTAGATGTTTTACTCATATTATTTCCTTCTTTGGATGAGAGGTTTAATTTCTTTACTGAAATGCGGACATCTGTTCACGCAAAGGTCTATACAAATACAAAAACAATCCCCGGTTAATTAAACGCAGAAGAAATAAGATATGCGGCGTTGCCCATGTGTACAAATGAAGGAGTCCCCATCAACTTCCTCGTTTTCGCTGCCTCCTGGTGACTGTATCTAATAACTTTTGTGTAACTATATCTCCCCTGTAAAATCAGAAAGTAGATCAATTATCTTCTATCTACCAGAATTGGAGTCACTTGGAACAACTGATCGTCCAAATTTTGACTACTACTGACCGTAGTAGGGTTTAGGTTTTTAAAAAAAGGAGAAGTTTGAGGAAGCTGATTAAGATGCTTTGATAAATGTTAAAAGTTTTCTTCGGAAAATTGTGTTCAACACCTACGTTAAACTGACTAGACCAGTAAACTGTTCGCCATTTGAGGTTTACTGAAAGAATTTATACCTAAGATTGTCATAGCCTTGGCCAATTGATCGACGAATCTCCAGTCGAACCTTTTCGGGCTAATAAAAGATACGCTGATAATTAGGATGTTTAAATTTTGCCGTCAGAAAAACAAATAAACTACCCTTCAGCCAATCTGGAACACAATAGTCACCGAAGCCATCTTTCAGAACTAGCGAAACATTCGAAACAAAAATATTACCCCACACTTAGGCGTGGATACACATCGACGTAATATCCTAAGTAAGCAATTAAACACTTGTTATTTTTGTCTATTGAAAACAATCTTAGACGAAANCATGAATAGTCTTTGGTTGTGCAACTATGAGTGCTTGAGTATATGTTGTAAAGCGAGAAACTCATAAAGTGATAATAGCGGAAGCGTAAAGTACCGGTTATCAATTCTTTTGTTTATATGCTACTTGTAACCGTTCAGTTTCACAGCTTCTATACTAAATTAACGTAGTTACTGGCATTTATGTTCACAGTGAAGATAAATGTTGAAGATGTTATAAATTCCCTGGTGCGTCTCTGCTTTTGTTCTGTAACACAATACAAAACAATTACGCCCTAATCTCGTTTTTGTTTCTATATCGTGCGTAAGACTTCTGAATCACAAATACCACTGCTTATTTATGATGTCGTGGTCTCAGAAATACTGTTCAATCTGAATAAGTGCGTTTCTGTTTGCGCAATAAGCAAATCCCGAAGCTTGGTTTAAGCCAATGTTTCTACAGCTCTTTGGGATGAGATCAAGGAAAACTATTTCTGTCAGTACTGCGTCTTATATTATTCGGTGACGTATCTGTAAACATTGGTTATATATACCATTTATTTCGGTTATCCTTGCTTTTTTTCTTGACACAGAAATGGTTAGTAAATCTAAAATGTTGCGTCAGCTTTATTTGTCTCCAAATTATTGTGGATCTTCCAACACTTCCTTTTGGATCTTTGAATAGATTTTACTGATGCAAAGGTTTGTTTGAATTCAGGCAATAAGGTTATGTAGCTTTGCATTGACGTAGATGGTTCTGTTTTAGCAAACGCGTTATCGGCCAGAGTTACTTTTTTATCAGCTTTCTTTGTAGAATAATACTGGAAAGTCAGTAATCCCGAATAATTTGTTTTTCTATCGCGTTGCTTTGAACTTTATAGTTGCCAACTTTTTTATTTGGGATTTATACATCATAACTCTTTGGTTTAGCACACCCTACTCCTGAAAATTTAGACTGTGATATGAATCCCTTTGAGTTTGTAGTGATTTCAAAGACTAAAACAGAACCAAGAAGAAACTTTTGTTCCGGAAGTGCCATAGATAGACTGATGAAGGGAATATATTGTTCATATAAATTGGATTGCCATAATAGCATACGAAAAAAGCCTGTGCAATGCATGCCGGAAACAGAGAGACTTTGATTTGATGTTGGAGGTATTATGTCTCCGAGATCGTGGTAATCAATGGTGGGAGACACTGAGTGATATGGTTGAGTGTCGCAAACAGTAGCGCTCGTGCACCCACTCCATATTCTTACAACCGCAGTCTATATGGATTCTCTATTTTTTTGACTCTACTTTCAAAATTCCGATCTTTCCAAATGGATGGCCAAAAGACAGCAACCAAAACAGACGCATAAAAACGCATGGTTGATGGTTGTAAAAAGAGAAAGCGAATGTTTTGTTTCTTTTTAGATTTTCTTGTCGATTCCTGACCATGGGTTTTACGTTTAGACAACGACCAAAATCTTAATAATATAATAATATATATATATATATAATATATAATAATATACACCACCTTTCTATCTGGTTTCAAGGAGACTAAGGATTTATGATCAATAAAAGTTCGATTACGAAAAAGCGACAACAGCAATTTGACCTTTAAAGTGGGGCTCTCTTATCTCCTTTCTATTCAACCACCTATCAAAGAACTCAGTCAATGCTGAAAGCTAATTAAAGAAGCTATTCAAAAGATTACCGGATTCTGGCACAGGATCTCACCTGTTTTGCTAGACGCTGACAGAACTCCTCCAGATGTCAAATATATCAGCAAGCAAATCCCTCAGACGTAAGCTCACCTAACGCTTAAGGAATGACCACAAGAAGTTTTGGTTAGCAAAATAAAAAAGTTGAAGTAAAATGCGGCTATCGGTAACCGTCGCAATCTGTTCTGAGTGAGGCTCCACAGAAAGTAGGCGTTGTTGAAGTAATTATTGAGACCAACGGCACACCGATTCAAGTTGAGCAACGCCGAGTTGAGCAATGGACAGAAAAATCTAAGTCATAACTTGACCGGCCGCCATCAACATCAGGCTTTTCAACTCTTTCTTCATATGAAGTGTCAATTAACATTAGCCCTCCATAAATGGAGGTCGCTTCTGGAGTAAAAGATTTAAGGGCTCCTCTGTCACGGTAACGTTTCGTTCATTGCCGTTTAGCGATGGAGTTGAAGAACCTTCTTTGATCATTAAAGGTAGCTGAATGGTATAATTTGTTAATCTTATCAATCTACAAGGAAGGGGATATATTGTCTTGTAAAAAACACGGACAAAGTAGTTTGGCTAATATCTTCTCAAAAATTCTTGTATGTGTTGAAGTTCATCGACTATCTGCCACCCGTGAACAATGCACATGTGAAAACCATGTTGGTTTCAACCTTACGCTAGGCTGCATCGACCATATATTCATTGTTTGCCAAATTCTAAAGCTTTATTATTGTTATATTTCATACTTGTCTGAGGACAGACTGTGTGCCTGGAAAATCATGGTACAATAATTTTTATAAAAAGAAAAGCGTTCCATGATTGGCTTGTGGGCGGAATACTGCCAGGTTGCCTGGGCCAAAGCAGGTGAATTTTCTTGAGGTATTCACAACCGGAGCCTTCGGTTAACCAAAGCCTAACCCGCAAGGCAGCGAGGCGGTGTGTGGAAAACGCAGTCCGCTGGGAGCCAGTGACCAGTTGATTGGATCATTTGCCCTCCGGACGGGGTCAAACACCCAAGGTGCCCAATACACCTCTATACCCAATGGAGCCGGTGACCACTGCCACAACCGAAAAGGTGTGGATGTGGTTCGTACGACTCCTCATGGTAGGTTTAGAATCAGGGATTTTGGTCCACTCCTCTAGGTGAACTACCAATGGTCCACCAACCCGGTTATAGCCCCGGATGTCAGCTTTTCGTCCTCTCTTTGGTGCGGAAACCTCCGCCACGAGAAGGCAAAATTCTAAAACAAGCACGATGTATATTTTATTTGACTCAGTATAACGCTACCTGATTTAGCCTGGGTGACCTATCAGTATTGCGCCTTAAAGCAAATTGGGGAACTTTTATTTTCATAGTACCGTGATATTTTTGATACGCAGTCTGGAGTCGGATATCTGTGATAATAATAGTGTAGCACTTTTACCCTGGTGTTGCTTCTCCCCAAAGGACAATCCAAAGAAAGTTATTTTAGCCCAACCCTCCACTCATGCTACTGGCCAAAGCCGTGTTTGATGGCACAATTACCTTTGTTCCGGGTTCATCACCGAAGGAGGTGCTTGTTAGGGTTGTCTTTTCTTTCCTTTTCTGTTCAACTTTCTAATGAATATGGTTCTTAAAACAGCTCTGTCTTCATGTGAGGATAGTGGCGCCGCTTTGCTCTCAGGTGACAAATTCACTAATTGAATGCATACATATGAACGTTTACTGCCATGTAAAGATTCATGTAATTTTCTGGGTCTTACTGGACCTTTTGAATGATGCTTTGACCATGTTCGGCATGGTTTACCCATCTTCAAAATACAAAATATTGTTATTTGACTAAGTCGGTAAAACTCCAAGCCTTTTTCTAGCTGAGAAAACAATAAGGATAGAAGATCTATTTTGTCACTAAGCCACACAAATTCCTTGTTGGCACGCATAAAGAATGCTCGGGTAGCGTTTAGAACATGAAATAATTTAGACAGTCATGGCCGCTCACTAGAACAACTTCATCTCCACAGATTACAGCGGCTGCAGCATTTTTTACTCATGCCACCAAATGAATGAGTGAGATGTTTGCTGAGACTGATAGAGATGTAAAAAGGGTAAACGTGGTGAAAATAAAGATTGCGATTGGCATATGGAAACCATGACCAACGTAATTGATAATGTACGTCGCGTTAAACTTCTTGGATAGGGACCTCGAGGTCAGCAGTATGTGATCTGTTTGAGTGCAGTAAATAGACACTCCTGCTTATAATCAATTTCTTTGGAAACACAGTCTACCTGAATCTTTGTCCTCACATTGGCATTAGTTTCAGCCTCCTAGTTCCTCTTTATATTCCATTCGATTGGGCTGCCAGAAACAACACCCAAAACCGCCATGTGGAAGTTCAAGCTTAATAGTTTTACAAACCCTAGATGAAAGTGAATGGAAAATGTATTACAATGCCGAACGGAGTTTCTTGGATTGTAGTCGGCGAGTTATTAGCCGAGTTTTCTGACCGGCTGTAAAGTTAGGTGTAAACAACTCTCAACAAAGGAATTTTCTATAACGGCTAAAATTAACGCAACTAAGAATGTCTTTTGGAGTGTCTTGTTTATAAAATATTTCAGATGTATGCGTCTCCTACTTGCCATTCGTTTGCAGTGTTTACATTCAAACTCGTCAGCAGATTCTTCTGAGTTTTCAAGCAATTATTTTTCCTTTAAGTCCTAAATGTCTTCCGCTATCTATATTTGGATGGCCGCAGCCTTCTTCCTGAAGCTTTATTGTACATTTTGATAACTAATAAACAGAAAAGAAAGTAAAAACATACAATACATCTTGTATTGTACATTACGCGCTGTTCCATTGCTATCGTGTTTTATGCATATACTCTCAAATGTTGTAACCCATTCTATACTTTATCAAATTTAAATATTATTACCATGTAAAAATAAAATAATTTCCAATTTTTTTACCTTACATGCACATGGGCAGCCCTGGGCGAAGTTTGCTAAATTTTGTTTTTGCTATAATGATGGTTTTTGTGTCATTGTCACCTTTTGAAGAATCGACAATACTTCCATAAAACCTGTAGTATATTACAATTTGTTTTGCTGACCACATTATTTTTCGTGTCTTAGGGTTTTAGCATAAAACATGAGTCCGTGGTTATAAGATGTATTTATATTCGCTAAACTCCTTTCTTTCTTTATATAGGGGTAGAAGCTGGAGAAACAGCCTGTAAATTGGCTCGAAAGTGGGCCTACAAGGTCAAAGGCGTTCCCAATAATGAAGCCCGAATTGTCTTTGCTGAGGGAAACTTTTGGGGTCGCACACTGTCGGCTTGTTCCTCGTCTACTGACCCATCTTGTTACGAGGGCTTCGGACCTTATATGCCTGGATTTGACATTGTTCCCTATGATGACCTGAAAGCGCTTGAGGTGAGGCAGTTTTTTCCTTAATTTCGTCTGCTAAAGGACTTAAACTTGCAGTTAATTTTGCAATCATGTCTCTGCATCAAGTGTCTTTATCATATTTTCAATTCAATTCTAAATTCACAGCTAGTTTCCTTATCATCCATTTATACGGCAATTATCGGACGGATAAAATATAATGAGATAGCCTAGTGTGCTATATTATCCTATACTCATGAAACAAACGAGAAGCGGGAATTTTGGAAAACTGAAGAAAACGTTTGAGCAAGATCTGCCTCCCAAATGGTATTGTTAAATTAGTTAAAACCGTGTGATTATACGATAGGAGATTTTGTTAGTTTATACAGCTCTGTCGAAGGAATAAAAGTCATCCCAAAACAAGAAAACAAATTTTGATCGTTAATTGTTGTTTATGTATCGATCGTTATAATCCTGAACCCGAAAGGATGAATATCGAGAGTTAAATCTACGAGCAAAAGAAGCATATCAAAGAAGAATAGTATAAAACATGTGACCGCATTTGTAAACATCAAAATGTAGATGAATAAGGCTTTTTTGTTTGATTGTTCTATGCCATTATGTATTCAGTTGGTACCAATTGTTGGTACCAATTTTTAACATTCTCAGAAAGTTCTCATTCTGTAACCATTCACATTTGGTGTACAAATCCGTACATGTAGTGGTACTTTCTAAACGTAAATTTAGGAGTTATCAATCTCTTCCTGATATGTGCAATAATTTATGAAAGATTATTACGAAAGAACAACAGCAATATGACCACATTGATTGATATGCTATGGATTACTGGCTTTTCATTTAATCTGGGTGAAATCTATAGCGTTGCGATATCAAGATGCTTTTTTCAGTGCGTCTTACTTTTCATGTGACAAGTGACAACTTCATCTTTTTCATTCGGATTAGCCGGTAGGCTTTGGTGATTTGTAAGTGAGTCGGTTGCTGACCTGCGTGGTGTAGTTGTGTCATTTTGATTAACAGAATTTATCTTGAGAGAGTGCTTATAATAGCGTTCTACGAATAGTAAAAATCTGAATCAAACTCATATGGCATGCTGATCTCAAATTCTCTTGGATACGAACAAATAATACGCACCGGATTTTTTCAAATTATTTTTCCTGTGATTTATTGGGTTTTTGTGTTTATGCTCTAACCAATTATCTTATGTGATAAACCAATCGGTCGCCATCACATTGATCGGGAGGTAATAATTTCAAATTTTTCCCTTCCCCTCATCGACTTTTCTTCTTTCCTCAGACGGCACCTAATTGGTTGCAACCGCTCTAGGAAATTTCTTTGTACCATTTCTTCGTACCATTCAAAATCAATGAAATGGACACTGACCAAAATATTACTAATTATTATTTATTCGTGGGACAATCCTCTCTCGAAAATAGCAAAACATACTTTAGATGTGAACTCACAATTTCACAATGACTTATTCGACCAAACTGCTTTTTATGCTTCCCGCTTCCCTTTTCAATGGATTATTCTTGTAGGAAAAACTCAAAAACCCTCACACTTGCGCGTTTATGGTTGAACCTATTCAAGGTGAAGCCGGTGTTCGTGTGCCGTCGGACGGATATCTGAAAGGGGTGCGCGAGTTGTGTGACCGATACAACGTGCTGTTCATTGCAGATGAAGTTCAAACTGGATTGTGTCGGACTGGAAAGTGAGTGACTTTGAATTCCCTTTCTGTGGGTGCCACGTTTTTGGAACAAAGTAATTGACTATGGAAGAAATTAGCTTGTCTTAGCCACGACGAACAAACCAAAACACAAGTTTTTCAGTGACATCCGTTCCATTCATGGATCTCGTGTCTGAATACGGTATTTGTACTTTGATTACATATCAAACTGTCTGAGTTAACTTGAATAAACATGATTGCAGTTAACCTACACAGTCAGTCACTCGAAAAAGTTCATTTGTTCTCAATCTGATAAAAAAATGAGATCATATCTGATTTAACACAGTACGCCTAATGATTGTGATCTTTAGTTTGCCAGTCTTTAGTGATCTAATAGGGTGTTAAAATTATTACTGACGCAAAATTTCAGATTGCCTACTTCAGCTTGAACCTAAATTTATACGCGATAGTATTGCTTTTTTGGAGGGTAACCCCTCAGCATTTCAGGTGATTTTCCTAGAACTTTTTATCAACGGCACATAATTTGCTTTGAATACCCGTGTTTGGCGATCCTACAGACAGGATTGTCAGTATTGGCGCATCAGCGCTTTTATCGTAATCCACTCGAATCTGAATAGTAGCAGCTTGCATGTGGAGCTGAACGTAATAGATTTTAAAGATGAAAGAACGTGGCATACACAACCCTTGTCTTCAAATACATTTTCTCGGTATTTGGTATTCATTGTAATGTGCGGAGGCAACCATGGGCAATGTAATCGGCTGGTCATACAGCGGAAATAAAAATTTTACTGTCTTTGATGTGATAGACTGAGAAAGTCAGTTTTATTATTACCCACTAATTGTATTGCTCTCATATGTAAAATTTCTTTTGATACGTGACAGGCATAATATACAGTAAAGGGCTAAACCTCATAACCGTAAACACTACTGTACACTGGGGATCCAGAGACATTCATCTAGGACACGTGTTGATTCTTCTCGTGAATATGTGAGGGTTATATGAGAGAGGCAGTACAGTAGGGATGCCCGTTCCAGGATTCCTTTCTTGGAACAAATAAGGTTTAAATGCCACCATTTGACAAGACTCAGACACCTAGAAATTTCGCCAAGAGAATTATCAAAAACTGTGATATGCCAATTCGGAATGTTTCATTCTGTCTAAAATGAATCAGATTTCATAACTTTTGTGTTTGTCAATAATGACACTTTCAAGAATTCGATTGATTTCCCAGTTTNATATTAGGTACACGATGCTGGGCCATCAATGTGGAGCACATAGTATCACTCTTCACTGCCAACTTTCTCTTGCAATAACTTTCGTCTATGGTGCACTATGAGAACTGATGAAACCAAATGTGAAGGAAAAGTATTACTTCGTTTTCGATGAAGGATAGCTGAATTTGAGGATTAACTAGTACAGGTGTGACAACTGCCGTTGGTAATGCGTGTAGCCGAATTGCGCTAGATCACATTGCGGTAAATTACGTTACTGGCGGTAACCTTAGACCTTCTATTTGCCTAACGATTGCTTCTGGATGTGTATTTTTTCATCGTCGAGTTAAACTTGATGGTTGCACACAATGGAAAGAAAAAAAGAGAGACATAGTGAGTGAGAACACGAAGAGTAAAATCAGATAAGTGCGCTTCTTTGTTCCAGGGAAGCGTCCCCTTCAGTGTTTAACATAGGCATTGGTAAACGTGATTTGTTCATTGTATTGGTATTCGCACGCGCCTATTCACTTTCTACCGTACTTTTCTATGCACACTGTTTAAAGCAGACACCGATGTGGAAATTATTGTTATAGATTGATTGGTGTTTGTCCTGAATGATTCATGAGCAGCGAATAAGGTTTTTTTCAGAGCACTGGCTTGTGTCAATTTTCTGGATAATCAACTTGACTGGCACGTGGTGCATCTCATGGCTAATTTTGTCTGAAGAAACAGTATTAGGAATAGGATTCTTACTTAGGAGGAGAATTTTTACTTACTATGCATGTAATGGACTCATCCGAAAGCGGTTGCATAGGACGTAAAATGTGAGGAAACCCAAAAGGTAGCTTGAACACTGAATCCCTAATTCTCTTGGCGAATCATGTGCAGTCCTCTGGTATAGGCCAGATTTCAAAAACGTAGACTGTTATATAGAGCATGATTTTACCCCTAATATGTGATAGAATCTGGTATACGAACATGAGATATGTGAGATTTCGAATCCTCTCCGCCGTTGAGTCGATGGATTTACACTACTGATGGCACCCAACCGGGTGGAAACAGCTTTCAGGTTGTGCTTTATCTGTTATTTACACGACGAAATTCAGAAATGAAAAATGGTCTGGTCAGTTGCCCCGTGGTCAAGTGGGTAGTGTGTTTGCATTGCCTGAGAAGTCCCGGGTTGGCTCCTCAATTGGGTTAATGGTTTATGCACTGTTGATGGGACACAAACAGATGAAAACAACTGTTGATTGTTTCCTAGCTTTTCAGTTCACGCTTCAATTCCTCTGTACAGGACAAGGTTCATATTATAGACATTTGTTGAAAAGCCTACAAAACTGAGCAGTGATGTCACACAATCAGTAATCATAAAGGTTGTATTTTGGTGTTTACATTTTATTAATTGTTTTTCTGCTCGTCGGAACTTCTGTCTCGATTTACTTCGGTTCATTGCAGTTTATACAACAATCAGCCTTGCACTTTCTCGAGGCGGTTTCCTTTGCTATATTCTTCCTACCCATTTGGACGGCGAAGTAGACAGTTTCAAATTTAATTTTGAGCTTCCACTATCCTCAGGAAGAGCAAATGCTACTTTCCTTCAGATATCATCTTTAGGGCGTTAACTGGGGAAACCTTTATCTAATGAGCTCAAAATAGTTTGACCGTATCCGTGGTCCCGGATGCAATTAAATGTTCATTCACGGATCATCGAAAGGCAAAAGTAACCCATAACCTCTTGAATTGGATATTAAATTAAGTCTGTGTGTCTAAATTCACTGTTGTTTGATCACAGAATGATTACTACATTTACTGAACAAATAAAGTGACCATAATTTGTATCCTCTCCGTTATGGGCATGCTGTAACATTCGATGAATCAGAGTCGCCTAAACCGCGTTTCACTAAACACTTCAGTAAATTACCTAATTAAACATATTTATGCACAGGCTCATCTAAAATGGACATCTTTTTGTGACACGCTTTATCTGATCAAATGAGGTCAATTGTCATTAGGTTCATTCACTCTCGGTGCAACCTCACTCATTCGGCTTACATAAGAGGTACACATTCAGATCCCAATCCTATCGAGATACATATTCTTGCTTGGTAACTTATTCAAAACGTTATTTCATTTGATTATGGAGAAATTAAGTCACTCAGGAAAAGTTTGTATTTTGATAGTCTAGGTTCATTAAATGATGTTTGCAGGTTAAAACACTAGCTACCTTGTAAGCCTCCGAAGACTCAATTAGTGTATTCACTTGAAGTCACAACGGCTCCAGCTGAAGCTGAAATGATATAGTTGAAAAGTAGCTTCTTTGTAAGGGCGCTTGAACCAGTGAAAAGCTATCATTCCGTTCAATTCCCACTCTGTGTTCTATGGGCAAAAAGACGATTATGCGTTGACCATGAGCACGTACGGCCGGATATTGTACTACTCGGAAAAGCACTCTCGGGTGGATTGCTTCCAGTGAGTCACTTTCGATGCAAGTAATCACTGTTTTCTATGCCATGTATGGTGTCTGCGTCCGTTCAGTCTTGATGCGATTCATTGACTACATTCTATGTTTTCAAAAATCCATTCGATTCAGTGATTCTCCTGATCATTATATTTGTTTGTCATCAGACTTCTCACACGTTTTGGGGGAACATGACACAAGAAATGTTATAATGGTACCCCCGTTTCGTGATCGTGCACCCGTGGAATAATAAAATTTGGTATTTATGCGTCCTGTCTTATCACTATTTCGGGTTCATATGTGAATTTCACTTTGCACAATCTATATTGTCTCGAATAGGATATCTGACGGATGCAAACCACTTGTAGCACGCCCTCTGAAGGCCGACGAGAAAGTGCACGCCATAACTCTTTTGTGATCGGAAGAAGTGACTCTAGGGGTTATTCGTCTGGAGCGATGTTTCATGGTACTTCATCGATCAAAAGTAAAAATCATGGACTGTTTAATAATGAAGACCACGCAGTCTATTTATTAAAATCACGAATTTGGATTTGTTATTCACGAAAAATAGAAGTATTGAGCACGGTCAACGTCTATCTGGTATTGGAACACCGAAAAACACTTACCTACAGCGGCTGAAGGATGGCCATAGGGTTGTCAAAAATGTCATAGATTGAGAGAAGTCATGTGAAACATTTTAAAGGACACAAGGTATCATTCTAGAATGAGGTAGATTGTAAAGAAAATCATAAAAAGCCAAAGGTTCCACGTGTTGAATCTAACTAACCTGCAACTGTATCAGAGTTGCAAAGGTTTACATGGTTCAAAATTGATGTTCATCAAATGCTAAAATTGGCAATACCCCCACGACATGGAAAATGCATTCAACACCTTGGATGACTGAATATCACATTGCGAATCGAGCTAATCATGTAAGTAAGGCTGAATGAAACAACGTGACATTTACTGAGTGAAAATCTTTTACTTTGACGACCCCAACGGACTCATTTACTTCTGGTGCAATATGCGGTCGAGTAAGGTTGACTTCAACCCACCAGACTTCGGACTGAGTCTGTGATAATTTCGAGTTAGATGAGGGTAAACCATGTCAGGAAGTTCCTGAAAGGAGGAATACTATTGATCAACAAATGGGAATGATATTTTTATTTTCCAGCCACGCAGCACCACCATAAAAACAACTCATGTCAGTGGAATGTGGTTATTATATCAAACCGTTAAAATAATTTATTGACCTACTCTTAGTTCTGACTTGGATCTCATTGAAAATTTTTTAGGTTTGGTTGTGAAGGGATTATTTGCAATCGAGGGTTTCCAGTAACAGCTGCAAAATGAAAAAGGGCATTTTCAATAAATGGCGGAGATCCGAAAGCAAGATTATTGTAAGTATTACTGTGTTAAGTTTTCGGTTCTGAGCAATAAATCTTGTTGCATTTCATCTCCAGATGTGTTTAATGATTATGTCGGAGGGTTTCATCAGTGCGTTGCTATATTTGATCAGTGATGCCGAGTAAGTGAAAGAGAGAAATGTTTCACTAGGACATTTAGAATCCGTGTCCTCTAGTCAATGTGTTAATATACGTATGTTCCTTAGAGTTATTATTTCACTGACCATGTCTCCGTATAAAAACCGTCAGCGGTTCAAGTTTTAAACTCTGGGTTGTCTATTCTGATTTGAGCCCGTTCATTTTGCAGGTATCCGCGGTGCTTGCTGATGACAAAATTATGTTGTGTATCAAACCGGGTGAACATGGGTCAACTTATGGTGGCAACCCCTTGGCCTGTAAAGTGGCTATGACCGCACTCAAGGTAGGATGTTATTTGATTAAAGGAGTTCTTTGCTCTGAGAAATCAACTACTGAAAACAGTAACAAAATAAGTTCGATGTTTTCTACCAAATACCACTGTGTGTCTGTCAGCGACTTGGGGTCACTGTAGCTAAATACATCATTGACCATCACTCATTTCTGTTTTAGGTTCTCGAGGAGGAGCATCTTGCGGAGCGTGCCGAAAAGCTTGGCAAACACTTTCGATCCGCGTTGGCTAAGTTGGACAAATCTGTGGTTCAAAGCTATCGGGGAAAAGGGTTGTTAAATGCCATCGTGATTGGGCAGAGTGAGTGCATACTGGTACCACTGCGAGACCTGCTTTCAGTCAGCCAACTTTTCACGATTATTGTAACAATCAATAATGTCACGTTCCACATGCTCAACCAGCCTTTCATTTTTCACAACCGGTTTTGTGAGTGGTAAGATCAAATACTGTGCCTAGATCTCATACGGATGCAAAAATGATTAAGTCTAATGATCCCACAGCGCTTTTGTTTTTGTATGTCAGAATAGAACGTGATTATGGACCCGGAAAATAGTTCTTGTGTGAAGCACTTACGTTGAATTGAGGTACCAAGGTATTTAGTTGATCCTTCATTCGGGTCACTCTTGCTGTTTCCAGTAAGATGAAACGGATTGTTGAGTCAAAAATAAAAGCGATAAACAGTTTAGAAACTAATGAAATATCCAAACGGTTGTTGACATTAAGTCCTGGAATTAATTCCATGACTTTAAATAGGGAGAAAACAACGAGAATCTTTTCACATTCATTGGTTGGCGAAAAATTTGCACAACTTTCTTTTACGATTCATTTTTCTCGTCCAATACAGTCGCGGTATCTGGAGAATGTCGAAGATGTGGTGGATATTAGGGGAATTGGGTTCCGATAATTTAGGGCTACATTTGGAATGCTAGGTTGAAAGACAGATCACATTGGTCAGAACATGGTTAAAAATTGGACGGGTTTTAAAAAATTGCCCATATTCTTTAACTACGGAGCAATGATTTTAAGTCGGTTTACCGTAGACTAAGTTAGTGATGAACCGAAAACAACCTCAAGAAGTCTGGTGCTTTTAACCAATCGTCTCAATGACAGTTTACCGGTATTATCTCAAGAAAATACTTCATAAGTGAATTCCTAATTATCAGGCTAGTTTCTCCAAGTCGTGATGTTCCAACGAGAAGTGGTTTTTGCCATCATAATACAAAAGTCATAGAAATAGAAAAATCAATGGTGTGGGAAGTATTTTCATTACCACCAGTTTACTGAGCCATGCACAGAGTAGCTGAAACATCTGACCGGAGCGTTCCCACTCCGCATACCTTGTCGGATTCCCACCAATGCAGCCCTAACGTGACTCAGAAAGCTGGTCGCGTTTGTTCTTCACCAGGAGAGCAGTTATGAATGATTTTCAAAAATCAAAAGTTCACAGTTATATAGGTGGTGGGTGGTATTGATTTGTACAAAAGCGAAAAGTAAACGACAATTATTAGTGAATATGACAGAGGTGCGTTCGCCGTATACAGACACTTGCTTTCCTCTAGGCGCATGCGCATCAGAAGTAGGCTCAATACACTCCCAATGTGATGAGAGGCGG